ATTATATTTGATGATTGTATGAAGACCCAAATGTTTAGTTGAGCCTATATACGTTCTAGTGCATTTGTGGCCTCCTTATTCTAGTGAAATCATGGGACAAAAACACAACCTCGCTTAGTTTGAGGGATGCAATATGTTTAGCATCGTGTACTTGAAATGTATCCAGGAAAATTTTTATTCGTTAATCAATAAAGGTTGAAGTTGAGCGCCCTTGCTTAAGCATGTAGGTTTTGAGTGAAAGAAAAAAAAAAGTGAGATACATGTAAAAAAAGAGAGAATTACAAGAAAAGTTGAAAGAGTTTTGGAGCTATTAAGTGTAAATTTAAAGATCAAAAATCCAAAGTTCAAAAGTTGAAGATACCAAAATCAAAAAGTGGTGAAATTCAAAGAAATCAATATCAAATGTCCAGAAGTGAAGAATTCCAATAGCTCCATAGTGGTATCGAAAAGTTGTAATTTTCTAGATTATGTATGCTTGGGTTGCTTGACCAAAAATACCTTAAGGCTAGAGGTTTTCTGCGGATGGATTCGGAGGGATGCATAAAATGAGCATTGTTCAAAGAAGTGGCGAGTGTTTATGAGGATTGTGAGTATTTAGAATTAGGGGGGTCCTTAGGAAAAAATTTAGACACAAATGCATGCGTTGCGGTCTTGGCATAATGGCTGGGTTCAATTGGATTGTCTTATGTGATATTAGCGTGCTAAAATTCGGTTTTGCTTGTGCAAGCAAAAGTCAAGTGTGGGGTATTTTGATATGGGCTTATTTAGTCATAGAAGTCATTCATGATCTTATTAATTATTGTTGATTTTATATCATTTTATGGACAAAAAGGTACTTAATTAGCTAATATTTCAATTTCAGAAATAAAAGACATGCTCGGGTGGAAAAGGAAGCGGAACTAGCGATTGGAAGCTTGGATCTTGGATTTTGAAGAAAGAAGGATGTGCTGGACAGCTTGACCCCTCGTCAGTGTTTTGGCCATATCTCATGAACCGTAACTCCGATTGACGAGATTCAAAATGTTCTGAAAACTAGACACAATTTCGGACGACTTTCATGTTTTGAGAAATGCTGATTCCAAACGGACTCGGCGAGTAGGGTCGACTACTCGGCGAGTCGTATCGAACTTTTGCGATTCTGGACGCGCTGACTTGCCGTACACGGGTTTTAAGTGACGGACTCGCCGAGTAGGTCAATGGACTCGCCGAGTAGCCTCTATTTTGTGAAAATCTATATAAAGGGGACTTTCATATCGATAACCCTAGCATATAGAGGAACCTTGGAGGCTAAGATACGATTGAAAGCGCTGGTGAAGCTCTGGAAAGTGAAGAATCAAACCCTAAGTCGATTTTGAGGAGAATTAAGGCAAAATCAAGTTTACTCTCTTACCTAATCTCTTTTGTTTGAACTATGTTTTTTACCAATTGATTTCGTTTTTGAGTGTTTTTACTGCCTTAATCATGAGCTAAAAGCTTTTTACTTCTGTTTGGGGACCAATGTTGAAAACTATGGTTTGATTAATGGTAGGATTGATTTAATATTGGTGATTTTGTTTGATTCTAGCTTGTTAAAGAACCTTATGTGTGAATGATAACTATTTTTCTGTTAATAGGAAGATAATTAAGCTGCATGAACATCTCTTAATTGTTTACCTCATATATTTATGTGACCACTTTATTATATGACTAGGATTAGCGACTGTGAAACTAGATTAATAGAAAAATAGGTAAATTCATGTGTGAGCTTGTGTGATGACCATCAACGAGAGGTTAACTAAAGGACCAATTTAGTTAGCTATTACAAGTCTTAATTAACCCGAATAAATAATCTAGTGAATTGAATTAAATTAGACAACTGGCCACTGTTTGAGTTAGTTTGTTCTCTAAGGATTAGTGCAGCGAACGTGAATCTAATCACCTGAATCGGTAGCCAATAGAAAAATCAATCCATTGCACTATTGCCATAATGTCACCATAGGATCAATTGAGTTGAACTAAAACAGAAGTTCCTTTCATTATTGAATTTAGTTGAATCTTTGCTTATCTAGTTTTTAGTTAATTATCTAAGTATTAGTTAGTAAGTTTCTAGTTCTTGTAAAACTAGAGAAAACCTTTTATCAACTTGTTTTATTTAGATAATATTAGCATTTATTTTAATTTTTTACCGTTCCCTGTGTTCGATACCCTACTTGCTTGAACTATATTACTAATCGATAGGTACACTGCCTTTCGTGTGTTTATTTTGTGTCTAAGTTAGTAGGATTAAAACTAGTTCGTTTCACACACATCATGAGGAAAGAGGAAAGGTGTTTGGAGTGTTTGGTGACCTTTATAGCCATGCAAAGGCTTAAAGGTCTCGACTTTATGGATTAAGTGATCTTAGAGAAGTCAGATCTAGAGTTTGAGTTTATGTCTTAACCGTTTAAGACCAAAATCCAAGAAAGGCTGAAACTGAGACTTACGTTGGGCGTAAATCTCAGTACGCGCAGCGTAAGGGTCTGAGACCCCGATTCTGGATCGCCGGAGTACGCCCCGCGTACAAGAGCTGGTACGCGCCGCGTACTGCCCCTGTTGACTTTCGTTGACTTTTAGGATTTTGGTCAACATTTGGACTTTTGGGTCAAGGAGGGGTAAAATGGTCTTTTACCCTTCTGTGGGATTGTAGAAAGGGATTTAATCTAGCCTTTGAGAGCCATTATTTATTTGAGGATATTGTGTATGTGATTAGGCGGGGGCTAGATCAGTATATTCATGTGCGAGATTATCCGAGTTACCCGAGGTGAGTCTTCTCACTATACATTACCTAGAGTGGTATTTATGTGTAGACCGGAGGGTCTTGTATGCTATGTGTATATATGAGATTATGTGCATTGTGTTATATGTATGCTATGTGTTGAACAGACCGGGCCGGAGGGCCCAACGATATAGACCGGACCGAAGGGTCCAACGACACAGACTGGACCGAAGGGTCCGACGAGCTATGACCGGACCAGAGGGTCCAACGAGCTACGGGACTGGAGGGTCCCGCTGAGACACATCGACCGGAGGTTCGTACTGTAGCTTCGAGTGGCGTATGTGTTGTATGTGGTATTTTGGGGAACTCACTAAGCATTTATGCTTACCGTGTTATGTGATATGTGTTTCAGGTACTAGCGAGGATCGCGGGAAGGCGCCGACATGATCCGTACACACTTATGGAGTTTATGTTTTGTGATCTTGGGATATGTTTTGTTTGATGACATTTGTTGAACATGAGATTTGAGAATGTTTAAATGAAAATCATGTTGTTTGAAAAATGAAAATTTGTTTTGAGAATTTACGTTGTTACATCAATACTTTCACTTTGATAGTGACATCCGAATTGACTGGGTCAATGTCTTTTATGAATGTAATCTTTGAAGTATCCATATCTGTAAAAAAATATTAGAAAAGTCAAGGAAATGAGAAGAAATATTGAAAAGACTTGGGAATTACAATCAAATTGTCGTTGACTTGAAAAGGGAATTACAACTGCTATTTTCTTTGTCCCAACAGATTTTTAAAATAGCATAAATAATCTATAATAAGTCACTTGATATATAAAGATAAACAACAAAATTCAAAAAAAGTCAATCAGATACACATAAACACACACAATCATATACATACACATAAACACACAATCATATACATACACATAAACACACAATCATAAAAGGTTTTCTGTGCATCAAATAGCAATGCACTTTCATTTATTTGATTTTTATACCTTCAATCTCTTTTATTGAACAAAATAGACACCTAGACATACACAATCAGATACATATAGGTCAAAACACACACATTTATTTATACAGGGACCAACAGAATGCATTGACTGTTAATAAGAAGGTAATTAGTATGTAGTAATATAATAAAAGAATCCACAACAATACAAATAAATCTACAAAATGTGGTTTTGATTTCAGATATTGGCTTTCTTCATTATTGATTTTTTAGGTGGAAACATTAGAATATCAGAATAAGGCGTTGCAAAAGCATAACATCAAACTTGAAAATCAACTTGAAAGAGCTACTAATGCCTATAAAAACCTAGAAAGGGATAAATATATGATATTAAAATATAGCATGACATTGGAGAAACTATGTTTCATTTATGAGGCTCAGATTGTTGATGCTAAGGTAAATCTTTTGTCTCCATTTTTTTTAAACTTTTACATATCATTATGTTAGGATTGATTAGATAAAGTACCTTAAAGTGTTGTAAAGATAAAGGAGTTATTTGTTAGACATGACAGAAACCAAAAAAAAATTAAAGACTAAAATACCCCTGGGACCATTTTCTGTCCAGCACAACCAGGAAAATGTCACCCATTTGCCCATTTTGCCATCCGGAAATAAGGAATGAAACTGTACATTTCCTTTTTTCCAAATAATAATTAAAAAGGAATAAAAATTTTCAAATCTAACAAATTGACCAAACCTCTAAACTGGTCTATTTTTATATTTATTTAATTAACCAGGAACCATTTCTTTAAATTTATTTAAAACATGGACATCATCAGTAACATTTTTTCACTGTACCAAAACTGAAAAAACAAAAAAAAAACAAAAAACAAAAGTAGGATGCTATTATATGCAAAAAAAAAAAAAAAAAAAGGTAAAAATCACCAAAATTACCAAAAAGGTAAAACTAATCGATTTCACTAAAAAAAACTTTTACATTATGTTAGGATTGATTAGATAAAGTACCTTAAAATGTTGTAAAGATAAATGAGTTATTTGTTAGACATCATAGAAAAATGAGATGCAATGTTTACAAACGACAGTGATCACTTTGTCAAAAAATTATCATAGAGACTATATTTGATCAATTTTAAAAACTACAGGGACAATTTGTATAATTTGTCTTCAAAAATTAAAAAAAAAAAAGCTGTCAAAGCTTATTTTTAAAGGTTTCAACACTCAGCGTCAGCCACATGGGAGAAATTTAGTCATAAAAGTTTACAAAGTCAAAGTTCATGTACCTCGTATTTGTAAGTTCCATTTTTTTCTTTTTTTGAAACGTTGTAAGTTCCATTTAAAAAGGTGCTTATAAAACTTTTTCAGCAATTGCAATTCTTGAGCGATTGGCTTTTTTGGGATGAGTTCATTTGTTGTTGTATTTTAAGCTTGAACTCAATCAACACAGTGTTATCGCCTCTTGAAGAATATGCCCCTATTATCTTTAAACATGATACTCTTGCTCATGTGATTTCTCTTGATATGATGTCTGGCAAGGTATGCGTACATGTCATGAATACAAAAACAAAAAATGATTTTTTTTTAATATTCTGTTTTGTTTATTCAGGTGTTAACAGGAAGATCGTGTAAACCTTCTGCTGTTTTGATGTTTATGTTATATGATCGTACCCTCTTTATTTGACTCCAAAAACCAAGACTATGTTTATCTATGTAAAGATTCAAGGTCTCAAACTTGATGCTTTTTATGTTTAAAATCTATCCAACCATATTAGTTTTTTAATCTCCAAAATGTACTTATTCGGTCATCATATGTATAACTTATATTAGTAGTTAATTTCGTCAACTTGAAGTAATGGTTATTGTTAATTTTGAAGTTAAAATTTTCGTTATTTAACCTCCAAAAGTCAAAAGACAAATTTGGACTTGTGTTTTGGAGCTAATCAATATTAGTTTATTTTTATGTTTACTAATTCTTGTTGCTTCTTTTCAAGGATATGTATACAATAGACATAAATTTAGGTCTATTTTTGCATCGATTTGATTAATTAAATCAATATTTTATTTAAAAATGCTACTTTTTTATACACATTACGCCATTGAAGCCACTCCTATGAGAATTGTGAACTAAGATATCATCATATCATATCATATCATACTATATTATAAAGGAAGCATTTTTCCTTTCACCACATTCATTTGAAACTCTCATGCATTTTTCCTTTCACCACATTCATTTGAAACTCCCATGACTTTTCAATTTCTTTCTAATAATAATTATAAGTTGGTTAATAAGGTTAAATAAATATCAAACCTAATATATAAATTAAATTTCAATATTAAAATAATATATTTACTTCTACTTATAAAGTTATGTTTTTTAACTTTTAACATATTCCATTATACTTAATTTATTAGTTTTAATATATTGTTGCATGTAAACCATTATCTTTTTAAAGATGCAATTTTGGAACAATTTATATAAAATACTTAAATTATTAATTTAAATATAACATTAGAGAGTCAACTTAAATATAAATTTTAGTTTAAATTAAACAACCCAAAAAATATTTTGTAAATAGTTAAAAGTGATAAATTATAGTGTCTTTCTAATAATGATTATAAGTTGGTTAATAAGGTTAAATAAATATCAAACCTAAAGTGTTATCATAAATAAACTAAATTTCAATTTTAAAATAATATATTTACTTCTACTTATAAAGTTATGTCTTTAACTTTTAACATATTATACTTAATTTATTAGATTTAAAATGTTGTTGTATGTAAACCATTATCAGTTTAAAGCTACAACTTCTGAAGAGTTTGGACAAAATACTTAAATTATTAATTTAAATACTAACATTACAATGTCAACTTAAATACAAATTTCAGTTCCACTTAAAAAACCAAAGAATATTTTGTAAATAGTTAAAAGTTATAAATTGTAGAGATAAATGCAAAAACTCTCAATTTAACTAAAATATTTCCTAAATATATTTTTAAAATCATTAAAAGTTTTCAAATAAGTAGCTTAAAACAAATTAAAATAACAATAGTTAAAAATAACTCTATATAAATGATTATATTGTTACCTTTAAAATAAAAAAACAATGTTTGATGTTTTAAATAATTATAATGATAGAAATTAAAACATTAAGAAAATAAATTTTAAAAAAGTAATTAACAATAACAACTATAAATAACATTAAACCATTCATTATATTTAATTTTATTCATGTGTAACTCGCGGGTAGAAATCATTCAAACGATTGAGATTATGCAATTATAATAGATGTATATATTATCATATAATTCAAAATAATCAATATATTATATTAATTTAGTATACGAATTATTATATCAAATTTAACAACAATGTTATTGTTTATATTAAAAAAACATATATTTGTAAAGACTTCAACTATATAGGTGTTTCTGCGCAACGCGCTGACATTCGCCTAGTATAGACATGTAATCAGTAATGAACGTGTTTACATACTAATTCGGTTGGATCATTGCATAGCCTCAAAATCCATCTCGAGTGTCGGATGAGATTCTTGACATGGGTTTATACATAGTTAATTCGCATGGCTCTTTGTACTTAATGTCTCATTTATTTTTTTATTTATGTAGCCTAAATCATGTGTTGGATTTTTCCACGTCATGTAATTTCATTTTCTTTTACTTCCGATTCATTACATACCAGATCACATAAGATGATTACATATGATTTTTGTTTTTTTATTTTAAAAAAAGCAAATATCATTAAAAGGGGTACTCTCATAGCAAGAAACTACAATGAAACCAAGTTAAATTGAAAGATGAATAAAAGGCAAACCCTCCACTCAACCCAATTACCATAATTAGTCACTAAAAATAAAATGACATTTAGTGGCACAAAAAAAGTGTCGTTAAAACCCTTTTTTATGCCACTATAGCACTTTCGATTTTTGTGGTACTATTTTTATGTCACTATATAGTTGATAAAATAAAAACTATTTTTATGTTTTGAGTGGAATTTTTTTCCCATAAAACATTTATATTTAAACGTTAGGTCCATTTTTTTATAAATTTAATGGAATATAAAATAATAAAGACGCAATTAAGATAAAAAAATGCAAAACACAAAAGCATTACTTAAATTAAAACTTGACTTGTCTTATAACAACATTCTCAATATTTAAAACAAAATCATCCAAAAGGCTTAATAACTCTAAACATTGTGCTAGTAATTACTCAGAAAGTTAGCATGAAGATGAACATTTGATACTTGCTCCTCTTGTTTATCCAACTTACGAACAATTACCTATAATATAAACCATAATAAATCACATAAAAATATGTAAAAATAACACTAATAAACACAACTCAACACTTGGTTATACTAGTTGAAAGTTGAAAGTACTTACAGTTGTTATGATGACTTTAAGATAAGACCCCCCATACTCCCTGGTAGCAAAAGGATGCTAACAAAAGAATGCTGCAAAGAATCAAGAAAAACAAACCAAAAAATTTACTTGATTAAACAAATAAGTTTAAAAGGAAAAGATAAATGATTACCATTTTGGTTATTTCCAAATTAATTGTTATTCATTTCTAGTGAAGAAAAAGATGCAAAGCACACAGGTACCAACAGAATTATCAACAATAATATTTTCCCCCCCTGTTATCATAAAAAAACATATGCACACACACGTCCTTTCTGTACATTCTTTTCACATGCTCAATGTAGAAACTAAGCTTAAATTTTGATGTTCTTTAAAAAAAATTCCAATCAACTAAAAATGAAAAGTATGTTAACTGTAACTTATAGATTTGGGGAAGAAGCCAAAATTTCCATGTAATGACTATGTATATGTTGGATACTCTATGTATACGAATTAGTATATGTTATATACTTATATTTTTAATGTTTGTTAAATTTAAATGTTTAAATTTATCAAGCATATCCAACAAATGCAAAGGTAGATTAGTGTGGGTGGCTGGGTGCTAATCATCAAATCAGTCTCCATTACAATAATTAAAGCCAGTAGCTTGAGAAATAACTCGAGATGCATCCTCCCTCATGCTGCATATAATGATCCATTTTTAACTAATCATATTTGGAGACAAAAAAAATAAAAAATAGAAAAATAAAAAATAAAAAATTTCCTACAATATGAAGAGGGTAGAAAAACGAACTAGAGATCAACTAAGCTAGGTAAGTGTGCAGCATGAACCACCAATTTATCATCAGCCCCAAAGATAAGTTTGCAACATGAACCACACCTTTATCTTTCTCCTAACAATATGGTAACAATAAAATCAAAATATCCAATAAAACCTCGATAATTAAAAGGTAACATTATATAAAATTAAACAACTAAACAACATACATGGGCTTAAAGCCTTCAACTATCTAAGTAATACCAAATTAAGTCGGTAGAATTAACTATTTTCTTAATAAAATCAAAAGTAATTCAAGTACAAACTCAGTAGAATTAACTAATTTCTTAATGTGTGTTGCTTCCACTAATTTGCGATCATGACCTCCGTTTATATAACTAACGAAGTTACAAATTGCATACCTAGACAGAAGTCAATACTTACAACATTAAACAAATTTAGCAAATCAAAAAATAGATAATAATTTTTACACATCCTGAATACATTATTTGTTTAAAGCAAAATCAGATGTAAGGGGAAGGAGTGTTACCTGAGACGAGAGTGTTCAAGCGCAGAGAGAGATTATAGCCATGTGATCTTCTTGAGACGAGATGGAGGTGACGAAGATATCTTGTGATGATTGGGTGAGGGAAATATCATCGATTAGTAGAAAAGGAGAAGATGGGATTTAGGTCAAAATTTTGAAACGATTAACAGAGGAGGAGGCGGTGTTTTAGTTGTTTTTTTGGGGAAAAGTTGTTTTGTTAAAATCGAAATTTTAGCGTCGTTATACGTGTTCAAAATTTCAAATTACCCCGTTATTTTTTATGAAAATTTCATATTTCCCCTTTTTTGAAATATTTAGTGGCACAAATAAACATGTGCCACTAAAAACATATACTATAGTGGCACAAAAATTATATGTCACTAAAAACTTATGCCACTAAATGTAATTTTATTTGTAGTGAGTGTCACCTCGATGTTTGCACCGTATGTACGAGAGAGAAATTGTATTTGTTGAGTGGTAAATCTTTCCTGTCGTATTCCAATGATTTACAATTGGTATTTATACAATGATCATATCGCTATTTCCAGAACATATCTACAATAAAGATAAGGGATATCTTCTATAATAAAGTCTATCAACTATAACAATCCTTCATCAATATGAAGAATGATATCTTCGGCTAATATACCACCGCAGTCGAATCGGGAGGACGACAAACGTTGAGACTGTTCTTGAAATCGTCGAAGAGAATGAAAGGTAGACCCTTTGTGAAGATATCTGCAATCTGATAGCGAGAGGGAATGTGGAATACACAGACTTGACCCCTAGCAACTTTTTCCCGAATGAAATGAATGTAGAGCTCGATGTGCTTGGTACGCTGATGTTGAACCGGGTTGCATGACAAGTAAACTGCGCTAACGTTGTCACAATAGACTAATGTGGCTGTAGTTGGAGGGACATTAAGCTCCAACATTAAATTTCTGATCCACCATGTTTCGGAAACAATTTGCAACTCCCCGGTATTCCTCTTCAGCACTAGATCGGGAGAGTGATGGTTGGCGCTTGGAGGACCAGGATATAAGGTTATCACCCAAGTAGACACAGTAACTAGAAATTAAGCGTCTCTGTCCGGGCAACCTGCTCAATCGGCATCG